GTGCATGTGCGTGTCTATGTCTGTGCAGATTTGTTTTTACATGTACCTCCGTCCATGTGCTATGTGAATGTGTGAGTGCTTGTGAATGTGTCAGTGTGTGTGTACTTGTGTGTGGGGGTGTGTGTGCGTGCGTGTGTCTCCATCTGTCTGTGTGTGTACATGTGTGCTTATGTTTGTGTAGAAAGTGAGAGTGTACGTGTACTGTACGCGTGTGCATATTTGTGTGTGTGTGTGTGTGTGTGTGTGTGTGTGTGTGTGTGTGTGTGTGTGAGTGTGTGTGTGTGTGTGTGTGTGTGTGTGTGTGTGTGCGCATGGGTGTGGGTGACATCTGAGGCGAGGGGTCAAGTGAGGAGCAATAACCTGGCTCACTTCTATGGCTGAAATTAGCAGAGGTTTTTTTTAACAGGATGGGTGGTGGTTGAGAGGGTTGGGGGGTTGTGGGGGGGGCCTCCCACACCATCGTCTCCCCAAGAAAGAGCCTCATTATCGGCTTCGCTCCTTGGCACAGACGACCACGCCTCCATCTGAAGAATAAAACTACCCCATGACATAAAACAAAACAAAGGCTTTGACATTTGTGGGGGGAAGGGGGGGGGGGTCCCCCCAAAAGGGAAAAAAGGGAACCGGTTCTGAAGTTATCCTCCTCTTCGTGCGCCTGTTCGTCGGATTTAGTTGTGTTGAGCCGAGCTGCACTAGGACATAAGTTCCTCACATTAATCACGAGACCGCGCCCCTTAAAAACACACATAAAACACTCAAATAATGCCATATATACAGTAAATGCGTTTTTTTTTTCAATATTCTCCGACCGTTGGTCGGTGCTTCAGTACAGGATCTGAATCAATCAGTACATCAACTTTTTACCACAGTCTACCAAGTATCTATACTTGTACTTCAATTCAGAGTACTTTTGCCACCTCTATTTGTAAGGTTTGTGGCTGTCTTCAGGATAGTGCCGCTGGCTCCCGTTTCGGAAGAATCAGCCACTCAGACATTACCACACTGGATTTTTTTTGTGTTTTTCAAACACCACAGGCCCCATTGGGCCTCTTTCTTCCACTCTCTAATTAGATTAACTGGGTCCATCCTCAATCTGGCAACCCGGGGCTTCCAATCTGGCGGCCCCTGCCATCGACGGCTCGCCCCGGTCCAAGTGGGAGGAAATGACCTAAATGTGGGTCTACACCCATTGCCCAGCTGGGTAATGAAGACATGACGGATGTGGAGGGAAGGGATTAAAAAAAAAAAAAAAAAATTGTGGGCCAACCGAGGGCCTGTGGTCGGGGCGGACATTTTGGGAAGGAAGCTGAATGCACAGGCCACCATCACTGCAATAAAAAGACCAACGAGGAGCAAAGGAGGGAAGATACCATTGGTGAGCAGTCACGGCATCAGAGGCACGAACCTCCACTTACAAACTACCATTTTTGTGTCCCAAAATGGTATTCATTCTGCCCAATGGTCTATTCTTTTTATTTTTTTAACATTAGACTTGGCTACACTTCAAGTAGGTGGATGGAAGATTTGTCCAATCAGATTTCAGCCTCTATGTGTTGCCATGGCAATCTTATCTGCCAAAGGCCATGGAATTGGAAGATTAATTCCAATGAAACTTCTTGAACCTATCACATTTCACTTTCATCTTCACGGGGCCAACTTGGGAAGTTTTAGTGTCGTCAGACGTAGTTTAGCTGTCGAAAGTTGTTGTGTAATGTACTACACTCTCTAAAGTACAACTACCTTACAAGGTAGGTCACTACACAACAGCGACACAGCGCTACAGCCCCGATCCCACTGAGGGGTGAACAATTGCAACTGTCAGCGAAGGTAGCAAAATGTACATCCACATCAGAGTTCTTTCAAGGTCGCAAATGTGAGCAAAACATTTTAGTCGCATGTGAGCAAAGAGTTTTAGGGATTTTTCTTGTTGCAAGGAAATTTGGAAGGTGTTCAAAATTCCCTTGTGTCAGGAAAAGTACAGGCGAATGTACATATTAAATGTTTATCAGCGTTTTTGTTGTTAACTAATTTTTGGGGTTATGTATGTTTTATTTTATTTTATTTTCCACACAATGCATTTCAATGCGTGCCAATTATACGTTCTCGCTCTACGCCGGGTGGGCCAGTCCCTATCTATCCCCTGCGAATATTGGGTGGCCATTGTACACTACACTACACTCCAACAAGTACAGTTCACCGAGCAACGCCTGCAGAGAGCCGGGTAAAAGGAGGAAGTAAGGGGTGCACGTTCATGGGAAAGATCATCCGGGATTGGTCTCTACGGCGTCGTTATTACACCGACTTGGGAGAGAGACTTGGGGCTTGATTTGGCGCTTTAAAATTCCATTTGAAAAACATGGGCAACAATAACAGAAGCAAAACGTATTTTCATGTTTCTAAAGAAATTAAATTCAGCAAACTTGAACACAGAATTTAAAATGTGCAGATTAATTAAAAAAAAATACATTTAAAAATTGAAGTCAAATGTTTGCAAAAGACAAAAACTGGAATACATGCGATACAGTACAGCATATTAGTTATTTGGGCTGCGATGTCTCCTGTCTACTACGGCACAGTCTTAAATCTGATTATAATGTGTAATAAAGGAAAAAAACATACAATAATGTATTTGCATCTTAAAACATTACTTTTCAGATCCATCATTAGCATAAAGTATATTTTAGTGTCAACGTGTTTCAACCTCCAACCTTGGAATCCCGTCAATCACCAAACTACGCACAAAATCTGGAATCTAACCTGGGTCAACCCTGCCAACCACTTCACCGCGAGGCCCGCGCCTTACCGAGTCCGGACCCCCTCTGCGGTGAAGCACAACCCGACACCGCTGGCCGCCATATGCTTTGTGGACCACCACAGAACCATCCAAGACTCCAGGGGACAAGCCACATGGAGGACAAGTCCAGGACACGGACAGGCGTCAGGTACAAGCAGAAATTAAACCACACAACAACATTAAATATACTTAGAGGAATGCAGAACATGAAATAATATGAAAATGTGTTTAGAACATTACATATACTTTAAGTATGGTAAATTCCAGGCATACAGTATGTTAATGTATGCACGGAGCATAAGTATTCTGTGTTGTAAGTCGATCTATTTTTCTTGCTTTTTTTTATTGAGGCTACAATGTAATGCGGTGGTGTAACATCTAACATTTTTGTACGCAATTTTTGTTATTTAAGTTGCGGCGGAGAGTTGGGGGTGGGGGGGGCGCAAAATATTTTCTTCTTCCTCAGCGGGCATAACAGAAAATAAGTGAGGAGCACTGCATTATAGGCATAGGCAACATTAAATGTATGTAAATGTGGTAGATTGTCGGTATAAAGAACCTTAAATATGATGTAAAAATGTTCCGTTTCAAATATATAACATTAAATAAGGTGCAGATGGAGCTGTGACAGCGCTGGGAGTAGAGAAATGTGGAATTCGTTTGGCCTTTAGGGGTTCTCTGGGATGGGAGAAATATTTGGGTGGGAACACGCAGGCCAGATTGGGCAGCAAAATAAGAAATTATGAACGAATATAAATATAAACTCTGCTGATGTTTGGGGTTGGGAAACTTTTAATATCTTTCGGTGTCGCGTTCTTCAATGCAGCTAGTTATCATTTGAAAACACAAACTCACACATTTGCACCCAACAAGAGTCAAACACATTCTAAGATGTCACCATTATGAAAAATAATAGACTTTATACGTAAAGGTACGGTATATACGTGTACATTTGGAAAGCCAACACTTCATAGTTCATAACATGAAATCACCAGTGCTCCAACATCAAAGGATCAACTTTGTGTGCTATGTTTTGCTTTTCCTTTGGCGTTTTTAAATGGAAAAGGTAGATTTTTTTTTCCTACTTCAGCCTTTGTGTGTTGCTATGTCAATCGAATATTATACAATAAGTACAGTTTATTTGGGTCAAAGCTAAGAGTTTCTAGCTCACTCCAGATGGGAAATGGACTCAAATGTATGTGTTCGTCTTGAAGAAATAAACTTGAACTTGATCGTTTCCCTTTGACGAATGGACCCGAGGAGATCTCCTTGAGAAGTGCAATTTGGCCATCTAGTGGGGGGAAACTGACAAAGCAACTACAAGAATAAAGTAACGGAATTGATCAACAGATATCGCCGTATCCCCTTAATCAATCAATCAATCAATAAAGGACCAAACTTGCCGTCATTCGGGATATAAAGTGTAAGGGTGGATGAATGGATGAATAGGCAGATGGATCGAGATCGAGAGAAGATAAATCTAGAAATGGATACATGGACGGATGGACAGAGATAGATACATAGGGGCATCTAAACTTATGAGCACAATTGTAGATGAATGGATGGGTGGCTGGATGAGAACAAACAAACTTTTCACTGGACGATTTGCACGTTTGGAGCCCCCCCCCCCCCACACACACACACACACACACACACACACACACACCCCTCCTCCCCCTCCTTGTGGTTCAGGTTCATTGACTGCTGACTGTGAACTCATGTTTTGCGTATGTACACCTTTTGTGAGACAGATAGACAGACAGACAGACAAGCCCTCTGACCCCTAAACCATAATTCGGGTTATCGATTTTTAAAGATAAGAAAACCTTTATTTGTTTCACAATGGAGAAAGTACCTATTTACAGCAGCAAAATTATGAAAGGGACAGAGTAGAAGACAAAAAGTATATAAGCAAATCATTACAAATGGGTGAGTGAGGGTGAGTCGAGGTTTTCAGGACCGTCTATTCAATAGCCTGACAGCGGTCGAAAGTTTCATTCCATTCCATTTTAAAGGGGGAGTGAAGTCAAAATTGTCCTTTGCAATATTATGTTCTGTGCACCCACGCGATTCAAAACAGGGTCTTTGGATGAATATTACGTTTGTGGAACATGAATTAAGCAGAAAAAAATCACCTGTTTGTCTCCACCTCAGTGGGCGGCCATTTTGTATTGTACTGCCACTTGCAGGTCGACTGAAAATGACATCACAGTGTCCAGGCGCTCATGACCACATCACATGACCAAACCCAGGAAACAGGTCAGTCATGATGGTCGAGCACTATTCAATTACCTGAACGTTTTGGTGTTCAAGGCTACAATGTTTCATTCCCTTTTTTTTGCAGTCAACTGTCACTTTTCACTTTAAAAAGTGCTACAGCGTGCAGTTGCAATCCATGATATAGAAATAGAGTAAGACTAATAATATCCTCAAGTCTGTCATTTCTTTTTAAATCAAATACAAGAAGTGGGTGTTCTCCAATCTCGTGACCCACCCAAACAGAAGCACCTTAAAACCCCTCCTCCATATAAAACCAGCTGCAATTTCCTTCTCTTCATCACTAACTCCCTCCTCCTCTTCTTCTTCCATCATGCACCAAGAATCCTTTTCACACTCGCTGCTTTTACTTTGCATCCTCCTGAGGAGCAGCCAGGCCCTCAACAACGATGCCACCGAGCATGCGGGAGGCCTCTTGCCCGAGGTCGGGCCGCCGCAGGAGGACGCGAAGCAAGGAAATGTATCCCTGAACCGGGCTCGAGCCGGCGGGAGAGCGGCAGGGCGGGACCGAAGCGGTAAGATGAGATGAATGAGAACCTGACTCCTAAAACGCCATTAGGTGGACTTAAAAAAAAAAAAATACAACTATATTATGTTGGTTTGCGTCAGGATCTGGAATGTATTGATGTACATTAAGTCAAGACAAAAATTTGCAGAGAGTATGTTAACCTTCGTTGCATGGATGATTTGGTAACTAAGAATGAACGATGCTTGATTGTTTTTAATTCAAAGAATGACCATATTTGAGAGATGAGTCTCTAAAAATGAAAAGCACTGTCGATTACTACAGAAAAAGTATAGTGGATTCCATGTTGGTTAGTCATGCTTTGTAGATGAAGTAAAAAAATCAGAAAGGGAAAAAATGTCATGTCTATGTAAAATGTTGTTGTTCAAAGAATTAATTCACATTGTTTTATTTAATTAGTCGTGAAACAAATGTAATTATACTTAACACTTATTTCACAGAATACAAAATAAATATAAAATAGTTCAATTTAATCATTCATTCTGATTCACTTTATTATTCATACCAGTACTTAATTTATAATTCAAAACAATATAAAAAATAGATGTTAAATGTATTATTAAACTTGTTATAATTTGATTATTTGTTATTCTATGTTCACAAGAAATCACAATTATTTAATTTGATGAATCCATTTTTAAAAAGTAATGAATGCATTTGAATTAAATAATGTGGGAGGGGAAAAAAAACCAAAACCATCATGTTGCTGGGACTGAGCAAAAAGCTCCAATGTCCAAATTGGTTAATTTCTTTTTTTTTCCCACAAATCTAATTATTATTTATTTTAGTTATGTACTCATTTATTTAGGGCGGCCCAGTGGGCGAGTGGTTAGCGCGTCGTCCTCACAGTGCAGAGGTACCGGGTTCAATTCCAGCTTCAGCCTCCCTGTGTGGAGTTTGCATGTTCTCCCCCAGGCCTGCATGGTGTGAATGTGAGCACGAATGGTTGTTCGTGTGTGTGTACACCCTGCGATTGGCTGGTGACCAGTTCAGGGTGTCCACCGCCTACTGCCCGAAGACGGCTGGGATAGGCTCCGGCACCCCCCGCGACCCTTGTGAGGATAAAGCGGATCGCAAAATGGATGGATGGATGGATGGATGGAATCATTTATTTTTTTGCAAATTATTGATCAATTTGAAATGTTGCTCTCTTTGTCAGTGTAATGTTAATGGATCAACAGACATGTTTTTTCTTTTCTTTCCTGAAAAATGATGGCTTTAGATATACAAAGATGCACTGCATATATTAGTGATGCATTTTGTTCAAAGCAGGGATGTACGGTGATGTTTTTTTTTTTTCCTATTAGGAGTTTTGAGTAAGTCCTTCCAAGGCATAAGCGAACTTCGTACCTGTTTAGGGCACCAAGACCACAAGAGGCCGCCAAGATCAATTAATGGTCAACAGAGCCCAGACTAGTATTTTATCATTTTATTTTATTTTTATTATTTCTGTCGTCGTATTTCTCTAGTAGTAATGAGGAAGAACACATTTATTATTATTAATAGTAGTAGTAGCCAAGCAGTATATGTTTTTTATGATAGCAAATGACATGAAAACAGACCATAAACCCTCTGACTAGTTTCAATTATGTGCATTTCGAATGGCATCATTCCATTTGATGTCATCGACTCGGTGATGACATCTCCTGTGGTGAAGTCATTCTCGATTCATCAACCGCTGTCATGGAAAGGCAGCCATTGTCAGGGAGGCGTGTGATGTTATGAATGGATGCCGGTTTGAGTTACAAGAGGGGACAGTTTGCAGCCTGCAGCAAAACTGAAAAAAAAAAAAATGAAAACATTCTCTCATTTACTTACCGTTTGTATTAATATCCAAACTTTCTTTGGAGGGGGTGGGGGGGGGTCTCGTGTTCTCGTGTTTGTGTTTGAGCAGCTTTGCCTTCCCGTGCATTCATCAATGACTTTGAATGCATTCTCAAGGAGGGAAACTGTAAAGGGATGTACTGTACTTTCGGGGGTATTGGCCCTGAAAAGTTCTGAAAAATGACCTTGGAGTTTAGTCATGTTTGTCATTATTTGGATTATATTTGCAATTGAATCCTACTTTAGTTGAACAGTTCATCAGACATTGTAGAATCTCAGCAGCAAATTGTCCCAAATGTTTTTTTGGGTTTTTTTTTAACAGCCTTTGGTTGACTATACCACATCGGACTGAGCAGCCAGGACAGAGAAACCACAACATCTTTTCGACTGACACATCACAAATTCAAACACCGGCCGTAGAGAAGAGCACTAGCCAAACAAAAGAGACATACATAGCCTTGTGAATGAGACTTTCTGTCCCACCCATAACGCAAACAACCATTCAAGCCTTTCCCCCTGTTTTTTTTTAACCACTGTACCTTGGTCAAATGACATGGAAGGATTTGTTTACTAGCAGAAGCATCGCAGAACGCATCGGAATTTGCCATCCGTAGGAACGTGTGACATCATGGGGAATTGTCGTTTTCTGTCTGTTTATTGACCTGAGTTTTGGGTTTGTTCCCCCAGAGCGAAGCCAGATGGGTTGCAGAGAGCTGAGGTCTACCAAGTACATCTCGGATGGCCACTGCACCAGCATCCACCCCATTAAGGAGCTGGTGTGCGCCGGCGAGTGTCTTCCGGCTCAAATGCTTCACAACTGGATCGGTGGCACGCACCAGTCCAAAAAGTTCTGGACTCGCCATAGTACAGCTACCGGCAGTAACCCAGACTGGCGCTGTGTCAATGACAAAACCCGTACTCAGCGCATCAGGCTACAATGCCAGGACGGCAGCACCAGAACATACAAAATCACTGTGGTCACTTCCTGTAAGTGCAAGAGGTTCTCCAGGCAAAACAATGAGTCGGATTCGGGACACAAGTTTGGGGTTCTGGTTCCCCCACAGACGCAGCTCCCACATAAATCCAAGAGCAGGAAGTCGCTGGGAAAGAAGCACATGAGCCAAAACTGGCACCAGACTGCACCATGAGGACTGCAGGCTTTGAGGCCTTACCAGAAGACTATTTCATGATGTTTGTCAAAAATAGGCATGGGGGCTACTTCCGGGTGGCAGAATGCAAATGAACCCAACTGAAAAACCATGACAAAACATTTTTGTGTTTGGGGGGTGTACAACTAGAAATTTTCCCAAAGTTTCTTTTTACCCGCCCCTCCTCGAATGAATCCAGTGCAAACCTGTGATCAGGGAGGATTATATCCAAAGTGCCATTGGGCACCGTTTTTAGCCACGCCCCCAAGTTTCAAGAAACTGAAATGGTGTAAATAATTAAATAAATAAAAAATACTATTGAGAATATATAAACATATTCAATCATTAAATGTTTTCTACAGCTATTGCCAAACATATATATATTTAGAAACAAATCTCTGAATTCACCTGACAGGGTTTTTAACCATTTAGGAACTTTTTTTCTATCCTTGAATCAATTCATCTTTTGAAATGTAAATTACATCTTTCCTTCTCAATTTATCTCATGTAACAATTCCGCCTGATTTCCAATGACTCTGCCTTGGTCAAATGGCATGAAAGGCTTCGTTTACAGTTTGTACCATCGAAAATTGCTGAATCCTCTGCCACCTGGAAGTACAAGTGACATCATGGTGAAAAGGTCTACATGGATTATGGCGTCTCTCAAAAGGCTGGACTTGGTTTTTGCCTGATTAGAGATCTAAGGACTTCCTTGTCATTTTAATAATGTGAAAAAAATATTTTATTGAGACAAACATGCAGTCTCATGTAGTGGTGCTAATATTTTTTTGGGGTGACCACATCCAAAACCAGTAAGTGGCACCAAACAGTTAATAGGGTTACAATTGCAGGAATTTTCAAAGTTGGAAACTTTCCATGAAAATTAATGTGAATTGATTGGAATAAACCAGGGATTTTGTTCTCATGTAGTGGTGCTAATATTTTTTTGGGGTGACCACATCCAAAACCAGTAAGTGGCACCAAACAGTTAATAGGGTTACAATTGCAGGAATTTTCAAAGTTGGAAACTTTCCATGATAATTAATGTGAATTGATTGGAATAAACCAGGAATTAAAATAATAAAGGTTGGCTCTCATGGGATTTAAGTTACACTGTACTGCCTTTTCATGTGGGCAAGGAGAGCTATTTATTTTGTGTCCATATGTCTGCTTCTAACAAAACAAAATTTCCATGACTATGATCCTTAATTCCCAGTTAATTCCCATTACTTCCCATGGAAGGTTTCCGATTTGGAATATTTCCAAATTTCCTCCATTTTAAATTCTTGTGGAAATTTACTGGAAACTTTATGGAAATTTCTTACAAATGTTCCACCCCTCTGCAGCCCCAGCTTAAAACCACACTTGTGTAAATACTTGTACACATATACAGTCTGTCAAATTCTTAACCCCCGCCTTTTTTTGTTTTTGGGTGGGAAGGGGGCATTTTTGGTTTTCCTCCTTAAAACGTGTGTATAAAGTCAATGATGTAATATATTCTAATGTGACTCTGTGTGGTAAAGATTTGTCAATAAAGTTTTAAATCCATAAAAAGAGAATCAAGGACCTATAACATCACAGACAGAAATGTAATACATTCCAAATAAAAAATGAAGAAAGTTAAATCAACTATTATGGATCCTCTATCATCGTTAATGTTGGACTCACTCGTAAAAATTTAGCTTCTATTATCTTGGGATATTTCAGTTGTGCATAATACAGTGCAGTATTCAGAAATGAAAGGTGATTTATTTATTTATTGTCTACTTTTACCATTATTGTTAATATCACCAGTAGGAGACCGGTGTTATATAATCTGAATAGACTTTAATTGTGTATCACATTCCAGATTTTAGCCGTTAATTGATAATAACAATGATCAATCTTATTCATATCTTATTCTTACTGTTTTGACTCATGTTTCAAATAAAATACAGGGTTACTATCATCTAGCTGGACTACAGTTATAATTTTTCAAACACGAATGTAGAAAGTCAAATCAAGTTTTGGGGACACGAAAAGGCGTTCGGTCGTCTCGCGAGATGTGCGTGATTTAATACAGACAAAACCACAATCCCGCGAGAACATCCCCCAATGCGCTTTATGTGTTTACAGTACAGTTCGCTGAATTCACTAAAGCGAAAATTTTACATTTTTAGGTTTACTAACTGAATTTTCGAGTTGACTAAACCAGAACTATTGCTTTATATTGAAGCACTGGAGATAATTTTGATCGTGGTGAATGGGACATTCTATTATTATTTATTGACAAATAATAGTTTTATTTTATTATATCAGTACTTATTACTCAAACCAACCAAATATATGGTGGACATACATAAATATAGCACAGCGAGACCACGCATATAAAGTAGTGCACTTGTATTATGAGAGACGAACGCGTATTATTTTGAAAGTGCAAGGCGGAAGTAAAATGTAACATGAAATACAAGCTCCAAAATCATCCAAGTTAGTAAGACTTACCTCTTCAATAACTTGGGATTTATCGGGAATGGATTTCCGGGACATTCCACCCAGGAGATCATGGACGTGCCCCTTGTCGACATGTTGTGCGAGGAACCGGGCAGGCCCGCACATCCTGAGACTTTCCTTTCCAGCCAACGCGGAAAGAACGGGCTCGCGCCGGTCACAGTTGGCGTGGACTTCCCGGTGTGTGTGGTTCTTCCTGCCGGTGGCAGCGGAGAGAGGACCGGACTCCAGACACCGAAACAGTTCTGCTTGCTATTGGGCAGACCGCTTATAAGCTACACGATTCGGAGTTTTGAGAGGTATGGACACACTTGAAGTGAGGAAACATTGTTTTACATGTCGGCGTTTTAAACAAGTGTGAATCAAGTGAGTGTTTCACTACACTCTAATAGCAACCATTTGGAAACGTGATCTTTTTTTTCACTCTTTAAACATGTTTTAGTGTCTTAGTTACTGCTTTAGCAAAGCTTTCCCCAAAATTCCAAGAATCAAGAATTACATACACGTTTTCGTGAACTATTTTCTCCGCTAACTCGCCGTGCTGAAATCTGTTGGTTTTCAAGTGTTATCTGTTTTACGGCCAGCCCTGGTTCCGCCCCCACTTAAAGCTGAACCAATAGCAAGGCCGGATGTGGTTAGATCGACAATCAATTTGCTTGATGTGGCAAATGCAATGTTCCAAAGTTTGTGGCGGGCGGCTGCTACCATTTAGACTCTAAATGACAGGTGTAATATCATCTCATTAAATGTTCTAGATTTTAGAAAATTAATATCAGAAGCAAATTATAATCAGCTAATGCTGCTAATCATTAGGTAAGCGTAGGGTCAAAGTGCTGAACACCTCGCCTCCAAACACAGATGAAAGGGGAACTCGAGTCCAAATTTTCTTCCCAATATGTTCCATTTACTGCTACTAGTTAAAACACGGTATTCTGAATAATAAAGTGCTCATAGAATAAGAATTATGACAATTAATCCAGCCACTTTCAGTTATCTCAGGAGGCTAATAATTTATACAGCCTGTTGTCAGCGTCAAAATGCCCTCAGGCTCGCATTGCGAATGTCAAACCAAACCCAGAAAACAGGTGAGCCGTGACGTTCACAATGCAAGCCCAAGGGCACTCGGGCGTCAATTTCAGTCGACAGCAGAGGACTGTAGGATGCCAAAATAAATGACCCTAAAATGGATAAAAACAGGTGGATTAATCTGGCGTCAATTTCAGTCGACAGCAGAGGACTGTAGGATACCAAAATAAATGCCCCCTGAGATGGATAAAAACAGGTGAATTAATCTTCTTAATTCATATTCAACAGAATACCAAATTTAGACAAGCGGGGCTGCATTTTTGCAAATAACTTTTTGGACCAATGATCCGTTTTTAATATTTTTAGCACCATGCATCACCACCTCCCACCTGTCATAGTATATGAGGTTGTGAGTGCCCACAGTAACATATGTCTAAACCTTTAAAACACACCAGTGACTGAGCAGTGGTGTGTCCTCGCAGAGTATCATGGATCCACAGCATTGTGGTTGTCGTGGCCAAAGAAAACATGGACCTGATGACGGACATCGTTGGGCGCTTCCAGCACACCAAAGTCCGGCTGGTGGCGGGCGGCTCCACGCGTCACAGGTCAATTTGTAATGGAGTCATGGCCCTGGCTGAGGAAGATGAGGAACAGGAGCGGGAGAACAAGGTGGTCATCATCCATGATGCCGTTCGTCCTTTTGTGGAGGAGGAATTCCTGTATCATATTACCGTGGCTGCTCGGGAACATGGAGTGAGTATGATAGTACTTTGTTTTATTACTATACCATAATATGGCCACTCTCTAAGACAAAACAATTTACAAATCCTTCATAAGAATACTTACTTATATTGTTTGTAGAGACTCAACCTGATGCAAGTCAGTTTTTCCTTTGCAACGCTCCTGCAGATGTGTGACGTTTAATCGCTTCGGGTGCGGCATAGAGTTGCCAACATGTTGTTTTTTTTTTTTTTTTTTTTTATAGCTTAGAATTAAGTCAATAGCCATGCAGTCTAAATCATGTATGAAAACACAACAAAGTTGTGTAATATTTATTTGCTACACAAAATAACTAAACACAGCTGGTAATGTTCAACCACTGGAAACAAAAATGAGTACACCCCTGAGTGAAAATGTACAATTTGGTGTACTCACCTTTCAGAGATCGCATATGGAAGCAATAAATAGAGTCAATAGTCCTGTAGGACGACAACAAATTGATTAAGTCAACCTGATTTGTGTTACAAACTGCTGTCCACTTAACTGTTCCCCTCCCCAAGGCGTCAGGGGCCATCCGACCACTCGTCTCCACGGTGATAGCCACTACGTCAGAGGGCTTCCTGGATCACTCGCTGGAGCGAGCTAAGTACAGAGCCAGCGAGATGCCTCAGGCCTTCAAGTTCAACATTGTCCATAAAGCTTATCAAAGGGTGCGTAGACTCGGAACACTCTCGGGGGCTGATTGGCCCAAAGTATGCCTCAATCAATTGGTTCTTTAATTGTATTCATGTTGTGCTCGTGACGATAAGCGGTTCGGAGAATGGATTGCTGGATACAATTTCAAACAGCGAGGACTCTCAAAGTTATGGTTAAAATCCAGAATATTTTATTTATGCATTCATATGTAAATCCACCAAATTCAAAAATTAAAGAAGACATTGAACATTTACATAACATCATGGGTGGATAAAGTAAGACATCTCAGTTTTGTGTTTTCCAGAAAAATCTTTTTTCATTTATTTATTTGTGTTTCATTCATTTATTGTAAAGAGTAAAAAAACAAATAAAAATAAATAATCGGATACGCTTTTCCTCACGAGGGTCACGGGCGTGCTGGAGCCTATCCCAGCTGTCTTCGGCCCAGTAGGCGGGGTACACCCTGAACTGGTCGCCAGCCAATCGCAGGGCACACACAGACAAACAACCATCCACGCTCACACTCACACCGAGGGACAATTTCGAGTGTTCAATCAGCCTGCCATGCATGTTTTTTGGAATGTGGGATGAAACCGGAGTACCCGGAGAAAATCCACGCAGGCACGGGGAGAACCTGCAAATTCCATGGCCAGAATAGGACCCCATACCGCTGCACTGTGAGGCCGACGTGCTAACCAGTCGACCACCGTGCTGCCCTCATGCCGTGCCACCTTTTAAATAATACCCCCCCCTAAAAAAAAAAAAAAACAATGCCGTGGCCAAGCGATTAAGATCACATGCTACGGTAGGGACCCCAGTTCAAGACCATCCTCTGACACACGGCTGCGGTGTCCTTGAGCAACAAGCATTACAGGACTCTTGTAAATGCTTGGTGGGCCGCATTAAAGAATGGAATGGGCTGCATTTGGCCATGGGGCCATATTTTGCCCACAACTAGACAGACTTGTAATGTTGTCTCCTTGACCGAAGCAAAACGTTCACTTTTTGAAACATGGGAAAATATCCCGGCTGGCCAAGAGAAGTGAAGGATGCGGTGTCGCAGATGAAGATGTTTTCATTGTGTTCCTCTGCTGACGGCAATGGGGATGAAAGGCGCCAGATTAGCGAGACGCTTTAGTGAAATATCAGCAGACACAAAGTATTAGAGAGTTTTCACCAGACAACGGGATGATGCATGAGCAGACATCATTTCGCTGCTTGTGAACTACTCCTTTGATCTGCTTTATTCATCGTTTCTTTTAATGTGACACTGTTTTGCTTTTGAGTGGTGTGTAATTTAATGTGCGTTAAGCATTTGGCCAGGCTTCTCTTTTGTCTGGGTCACTTTTCTAATACAGTGAACCCCCGGTAATCGCAATGGATGAGTCTCAGACTCCAGAGGATTTTTTTTTTCTTTTTCTTTTTTTTTTAAACAAATAACCCATTTTACAAGTACTGTATTCTAATTCTAAAAAGTATAATATCTTAATGATTCAACTGATTTTTTTTTTTGGGAGGGGCGGGTGACTTTTAGCCAAATGAAGCAACTTGGCACAGAGTGAACAATTCCTCAAAAAAGAGGCTTCAAGCTGTTCATTGCCGATCCCAGTTGAAGTTTGCCATCAAACTAAACACCAAACAAAGAGAATTACACATTGAGTATTTAGAACGACGACGTAAAATCTTTCAGCTTAATGCTAACAGACAACGCAAAACACATGTACTGCCATTGATGGCGAGAGACGTCAGCGCTCCATTTTTACTGGGCTAGCAGTAAATAAGTTAACTCATTCACTGCTACTGACAGCTAAAAACAATTTTAAACCCCCAAAAACATTTTAAAGGGGATTTTTTTTTTTTTTTAACAATATGATCTCTGTCCCCATTTTCATCCATGTCAGGGGGCGGCCAATTTGCCACTTGTTGTCGACTGAAAATGATATCACAGTTGCTCAGGTAATGACCAATCACAGCTCTGCTTGCAAACATCACGTCATCAAACTCAGAAAACAAGTGAGCCGTGAGTGGTTGTTATCAGAGCTCTTTTGTAACCTGCATTTTCTGAGAAATTCCTGTTGTGGTGGTCGTCATGTCATCACTTTCCTTCCCTCAGTGCACTGAAGCCGACTTTGCCTTTGGTACCGAGTGTCTCCATCTGGTGCTGCAGTACTGCGCCACCAACGCCAAGCTCATCGAGGGCCCGCCCACATTGTGGAAGGTGACTTGTTCACATTTGATTCCCATGTTACCGAACTAATCATGGGTAAAAAGCAGGGGTGTCTAAGTCCGATCCTCGAGAGCCCCTATCCAACACGCCTCATTCAAATGATCAGAATCGTTATCAGGCTTCTGATGATCTGATCATTTGAATGAAGTGTGTTGGAGTAGGGAGACATTTAAAACAAGTTGAATCAGGACTCTCCAGGACCGAACTTGGGCACCCCAAAGTAAGAGGGTTCAATTTGATGTACTTCAGGTCACCTACAAACGGGATTTGGCTGCTGCAGAGTCTGTTGTCAAAGGTGAGCTACGTACTCCCAACATCTACTTTTGTTGTGTGTTCATATATATATATATTCAGGGGATTTTTTTTTTTTTTTTTAAGTGGTAGAACGATAAATGGCATTTCAATTTATTACAATGGCGGACATTGATTGGATAGGAGTGTAAATTGAGTTACATGCTTGGAAACGGAACAAGTTAACTTGTAAGTCAAGGTACCACTGAGAACATCGAATCCTATCACTTTTGTTAGCTTCTGAAAGTCACTTGATCGTTGCTTTCCAGGCGTCTCCGTACTTTTACATGTAAAATACAGTGAGCAAATGAAAACCAACAAGCCTCCAAAAGGCAATTGTTAATAGTTTAAAAAAAAACGCCGACAGGAGCTCTGTTTGCTTTGGGCAAAGATGAACGAGCGGAACCATCTCAGAGGGTCGCACAGGGTTCTAAATAATCTTGAATACAAGAGGGAGCACCTGTGGCAACAATCACCTGTTTGATGGTGACGCCAACGTGCCTTCGATTCCCGCAGTGAATGAGTGCATCGCAAAGTTCTCACGTCTGTCAGAGTGATGGAGCGTCGAGCCTTTGTGTGCTTGTCTCAGATTGCGTCTTCTGTTTCTGCACGTGAACCCCGCCTATACACGGTTCACTATTCACAAATTTACCAGCAGTTGTACCTTGATTTAAGCGCTTAACCCATTCTAGGACCACACTCATGACTATTTACACACATCAGAGCAAATTTCCCCTACTTAAATCAATTAAACTAAGGGTTTTTAAACTCATCATTGTAATTTTTTCCCCCCACAATATTGCGATGTAATATGCGACGATGGAGTCAGCTGTTCTTTGCACGCGTTTTCATATTGTGTGTGTGTTGGACTGACTGTCTCGGTCAATAAACGGCTGAAAGTGTGTCGTAACCGTGGCTCTCCGTCCTGTTGCATGCTTTCCCTCCAGACAAACTATCTCGGTCGGCCTGCGTGATCACAGGCGCATGTTCGCGTGCTAGGATGCTGGCCGACTCCCTCCACGAGGCCTTTTGTAGCCTAGAAATGGTACGTAAATCGGAGCCATTAACATGTCTGTGTCGCACGCACCCGTTTATTTTCCTCCGCAATGGGAGCATCAATGAGCCCGTGTTAATATGAGCGTCATCGGGGTGGTCCGCTGGTGAAACGACTGGGCTGTCTGTGGTCAAACAAGTAATGAAGTGTGACTGGATGCATGCAGGAGAGCAGATGGCCGTCACATTTGCTGAACCGCGGCACTTTTGTTTGATTAATTGTGGTGTGGGCGGCCTTCATTCCTTTGTTGCTTGCTAGCTCATGTTACGACCTCGCAGACAGAAGTGGGGGGGGGGGCAGTCACATGACTTGACTCGAGTTCGACTAAAGTTGCCAACTTTATTGCTTGAGATTTGCTGGGTGAAAATTTTCTGAAAGACTGACGTCAGGTTGCAACGATTATTCAAATAACTGTTCTGATCCAATTACAAAAGGAGTCAAAGGAATGTTTTTCGACACAAACTAAGCAATGAGAGCAAACGACAGAATTTTGGGATCTTGAAAAAAGAAGCCGTGGGACTGCAACAAAGCAGAAGAGGCTCACGCAACTGCACGTCTACGCTAAATAACCCACTGACTGGCGACTGTCACTCCAAAAGCCAGCTGCTAACTTGAATTTACAACGGCCAACTCGACACTCCCATGGTTGTTCGTCTCTCAACCCGACTCCCTTTCGATCGACCGGGGGCGACGTAGGCCATCGTCCCGCGCTACCGAACTGCGTTCGCCCATCCCTTGGGACCGACTGACCCATGTTCAACTGCTGTTTACATGGAACCCTTCTCCACTTCGGCCTTCAAAGTTCTCGTTTGAATAATTGTCTTGGGGTTCGATTAAGAGTTAGGATTAGAGCCCTGGGTAAGGGTCACGTGTTAGATTTAGGATTAGAAATTATGGATTAAATTTCGGGTTAGATTGTTGACTGTAGTAGATGGGGCTCTCACATGGGTGAATGTTGTGGTGACAAAAACACAAACTGGAAGGCTCTTAAGACCTTACAACACAGGTGTCAAAGTCAAGGCCCGGGGGCCAGATCTGGCCCGCCACATAATTTTCTGTGGCCCGCGAAAGCAATTCAAACATGGCAAATTCCATGAAGCTTGCTAAAATATGTCCCAAAAGTTCAAATTCTCTTATGTAATAAATGAGAGAGACATTGTCAAGCATTTTTTGTTGCCAAACACCCCATTACAATCACTTAAACAATAGTTCCCGAAGCTATTAATCTTGACTTCTTTAAATGATTTCAATCATAATGGCCGTCCAAGGAAAATGGGACCTAAAATGTGGCCCGCGACGAAAATTACTTTGACACCCCTGCCTTAAAATGTTACATTTCATGAATACCGATACGAATAACCTGTGCGGAATGTCTCTTGTCCTCCAGGAGCTGGACATCATCCCAGATGTGATTGGTGACAACGGCGGGTATCTGCACAAGGCCTGGAACTTTATCCAATTTTTTGTACGTTTACATTTTTTCACAGGAAGGGAAACCTCAGTTCCTTCAAACAAATTTACTATCTGGCCGCATAACAGAGAAAAAAACACATCTGCTCTCAAAGATGTTATCTTGATTTGGATTTTCTTGGCGTTACAGATGAATGTCTCTGACTTGGCTCAACTGGAGACCACGTTTGCGGCGATAGAGGCGGCCCGTCAAACACTTCTACATCCGGTGGTTGTCATCGTGGTGAGCAGTTCTGCATCCGTAATCGTACACGGGACAACAAAGTGTTATCTTTATATGCCTGGGATGAAATCTAGTCAGGAAGGCTGAAAAGAAGACTCAGAGCCCAGGAGTTGGGGACCACTGCTATAAGGGGCAACAATCTCCCATATTCTTCATAGGGAAAGAAAAAACAGTATGGCAGGGTGATGAGGTACAGCGGCAAGACGGAATCCATTAGTTTTGAGGGAAATGCCATTAAAAACCAAGCAAAATTACCCAGGCTGACCCATTTCGCCGGCATGAAGTCAGTTGGGGCAGTTGCGACTTTGAGAAAAGTTCAAACGGCCTCCCGAATTTCACGCTTTTAAGCGAAGCAACCCAAAGTGTTTGTCTTAGGTTCTGTGTGGCAGCAGTCAGCATGTTACTTATCACAGCTTTGGTCACATGGTAACAATCAGAGGAAAGTTGTTGGTGGCGCAGCCGCCTCTGGGGCGGAAAAAAAGCAAGCTGCTGGTTGAGATTCTTGTTTTGTCTAAGAAAATTGGATTGAAATGAAAGCGGCGCGCCCGCCCCTCAAGTCATGCCGTTTGGGTACCAGTGGTGCAATGGAAGTAAGTCACATATGTGCAAGTCAGAAGTCATTCTTAAGTCCTAATCTTGAAATTTCAAGCAAGTCCCAAAGGACTGCGGTCAAGATCTAACAAGTCAAGAAGTCAAGTCCCCACTACATTTCCAGCAAGGCGAGTCAAGTCGTTTTTGGTGTTAAGAAATCCAACTCCATTCATATTCATTCACACATTAGCAACTTTGCACTCAATATCTTTTAACTCGAGTCAAGTTATGTGATTTGAGTCCCCCCACTTCTATTGTGTAGTATTTGGACAACGTAGCCACGCTTTTTGTTTTCCACAGGTCCATTTAAGCAACGCGGATCGACGGGCAGTTGAGCCGGCAGCCTTTGCCGAATTGGCCTCGACAGCCAAGCTCCGCAATATTCTCTTGTACGGTGTCCATGTGCAGCAGTCAAAGGTAAAGCCCTTCGTCTTTTCATGTCTGACTTTTCCCAGCCAGCGCATTGTTCCCGAGCGATGGCTCTTTTTAAGAGCAGCGAAACTAAACACGCCAGCCGCTCTTTTGTACATGATTTGTTGTCATGTCTTTTCTCGAATGAATGCCTGTTGCTGGTTTTTATCAACCGGTATAAAGGCCTCCTTGGAAATTGATTCATTTCGTTGTCATTATTCTTATGTGCGCCCCCCCCCCCACAAAAAGCTCCCATGAAGGGTAGGAAGTAAAACCTTTCTCATATTCTGGTTTGAAAGCAGCCATTTAACGTTCAACATGTCAATTTCCAGGGTGCTTTAAATGTGAGTAACTGCAATAACTCCTCTCTGGATGCTCCGACTTCCTTTCCAACTCTGTAACTCCCATCAAATTCACCACTCCTGTGCTCACGAGTGAAACGTAAACGTTTCACCTCTTTCTTGAACCGAATGCTCAATAAGTCGGCTCACTTTGCAGTTGAAAGCACTTTGACCTCAGCACGTGTTGTGAGGAGAGTCATTGGAAAGCATGCGGTCTACGTCCAGGTTCTAAACTCATCGCTTGGTCATTATAGTGGAGTCATCTGTCGGAGCGAATGAGAAATCGCAAGCTTCACATGAAGTCAAATTAGGACTTTTTTTTTTTTTTTGGACACAGGATATATGTTCAAGAGTGACTTTGACACTGGGATAAATGAGGCTTCTCGGGCTGATCTGTCTTCATGAATCAAATATGCTGCGTGTCGAGGATTGATCTGTTCTGTTCTCAAAAAAAAAAAAAGGAAAAAAAGAGGAAGGACAAGATATAGAAGTTGTTTTCTCCGTGAATACATCTGCGTTTGATTTGACGATCGCCTGTTGGACGTTGCGGTTCTCAATTACGGAGATGAATGCTAAAGTGAAAGTCATGGTGATACTCTACATGTCGCAAAATACAGATTGGGATAAATCTCTGTCCTTTCTGATCTTAAAATAGATCATTCTTTGCAGAAGTACTGGCTGTGTCCCACATGGGACTACAATCTCACAAATTTTCCAGAGAGCAGAGAAGAAAGTGGTCGACAGCACAGAACTGTGTGTCCAAATGTGACAGCAAGCTTCTGCATCTGAGAGGAAAACTATTCAGAGACAGTGGATTGAGGCCTCCAGAAAAGTTGGGTCTCCCATAATTTTTATATGTACAACGGCTTCTGTCATCTATGTGATAACAATCGTCCATATCGCTCATCTACTTGGGAAGAGAAACTGGATGAATAGTAAAAGCGAGTGGGTGGATGCATCTCAACACTGAGTGGAATAAATCTGCCCTCTATCGTCTAAACTAGATCATTCTTTCCAAATGAGCTTTCAAATGACCTCAAAGGTCCTCAGTGAACCACTAAAGTCCCCATTTAATGCATCATCCAGGCTGCTTTGGCCAGCGTTGTGGTGGTTAGCTGGTCAATTTGCAGCACACTTGCGCCTCTGTCCAAAAATTAAGAAATTATTTGGCCTTGGTAAAGGTTTTCGTTTCACTCTGGCCGCGAATTAATAATAGAGTGACGTCTGCGTTAATTTCCTGTTGAGTCAGGTTTACTCTGAAAAAGACATTTTGAAAGAGAACACAGAACTAGTGTAACTATTCGCACTGCCAAGTTGACCAGAATTTGTCAGATTGCATTCGATGGCTTTTAAAGCATTAAACACGTCATCGGAACTTAATTTGGAGGCATTTGGGGGAAAAAGGGCAAGTTGTGATCACACCTGGCTACGGTTTCGGAGAAAGTCAAACCGGCAGGAAAAAATAAACTGCAATCTGGTTTCTACTTGGCAAAAAAGGAGTTCACAACTGCCAGTGGTTTGTTTTTATGGATTCCAAAAAAAAAACAATACATAATGTTATAATGTTATTGTATAACATTATGTTATACAATATGAGTTTCCCCCATATTCTCAACTGTTTCAGAGTCACGTGACTGTTCTTTCTAGAGCCGTGGCTAAAATTATACGCAGGAACAATTTTCAGATATGCCGCCGGTTCTGCACAGATGCCTGCTTATTGAAGAAACAATGTTTATCTCTATTTATACTCATATGAAACCTAACCGTTAATTTCCCCTTGATTCCCAGGTGATACCTATAAAGTCTGATGTTTCCAAACTGGTATATTTCAAAAATTCCCGATATTGATTTCTCATGGCAAAAAGATCTCTTGCAAAATTTCAAGTTCAGGGAAACATCTGGACAAAGCATTTCTCTCTGGTAGTTGTTCCACCCTCTGAGGACACAGCCAATCGTCAGGTGTGCGCTATGGTGTGAAAACTTAAAGCTGCATACTCTGACATCAGCCCCCCCCAGAAAAAAAAAAGTGACACCGTGTTGTGAAAGCGTCTGCGGTATGCGGCATATTGGCGTGGATAGGAAGTGTCACAGGATCCTTCCCCTGAGCTCAATCCCTCTCCCTTGTCACCCTCTCAAAAGACACTTGTCAGTCCGATGTCAGGCCTGATGCATGGCTGTTGTAATTAGCGCAGTGAGAGCCCTGATATTTACCCAAGCCCGTATTTCCTCCCCGGCCCGGGAATCCTAAACCTGTGAAGAGATTAGCCGGCACGGGGAAAGAAAAGAGCAGCAGAGAATGGAGACGACCTCAGGTGAAAAACATTCCGCGGGGTCTATTCTCCCGGACCTGTTCACATCAAGGTCTGAAAGGCAGACGGGTGAAACCCGATCCTACCCAAAGAATCTTTTACCGCAACACCCTACGAGTTGCACCGTGGTCTGGGTCAAGGGAGATTAGGGACAACGGGAATCTCTGCGGTTTCAGCACACTCCCCACTTTTTCTCAGGCTAAATCCCTGCAGTTATCACCCATGTTCAATGAAGCTCTGGTGTTAAATGGCGAGGAAGCGCGTAGCCTGAAAGTTTATCTCTTGTAGGAAGCCGCAAACACATTCTTTGAAGCCCCCCCCACCCCCGCGTCATGTCAGTTACGGGTGCTCTTTCTGTATTGAACACATACACAAAACGCAATGTATTATCGGACGCAGGCACGCTAAAACGTACGCTAGCTTAAACAATACGCTAGCATGTATGCATGCTAGCACATGTTTTCAAAAAATAGCGGGAGTAAAACTGAGTTTTGTTGTACTTTATTGAAGTATTTAACACAATGCACTCTTTTTTTTTTTATCAATCCTCATTCTCAAATCCATCAAATGTCCTCATCTTCTGTATCCGAAATGAACAGCTGGGCATTTTTCATAATCAAACACGCCAGGTTACCTCGCGTCACCGTCAAGTCTCTTTGCCGTGCGGCTCCTCGGAAATGAATTTTGGGGGTAAATGTTGAAAAGTGCTCCGATAGCGTGTTTGATTATTTTTTTTGTCCTGCGGCAGAAGCTACGGAGTTGTAGTTCGTGTATAGCGTTTTGGGGGTTGAACTAGCACGATGCGGCACATGTGCATGGTTATCAAGCCGGATCTTCTGTGAAAGAGAGCCAGCTCCAGATGTGTGAAACCCGAGCGCCTCAAGTTGGCTCTGAGAATTGCTTATACCAGACTGTGTTTGCTCAGCTTTGATTTGTCAAATTAAAAAGATGGAACTCAATTCAGGCATTGAATCAGACAAGTGGTTAAATTGGGTTCCGAAAATAAAAGTGGAATACAATGTCATGACATTTATGGGCGTGGCCACTAATTTGGAGATGTTTCTGACCACCCAGCTTTGTCTTCTTGCTTGCTTCTCCTCAGTTGTCATGTGAGGGGAACCAGAGATTACGCACAGATTTTTTTTTTCTTCAGACAAAAGAAAATGCAACCAGATGCCGCCAAATGCCAACTCCTCGAAAAGATTTGATTGGACCTGCAGCAACATCAACACAAAAATGCGAACACAACTTCACGCTCCAGTTGGAATCCTGATAAACACTTGCCACCCAACGTGAATTTCAGGCATTTCCCACCATGGAAAATTAGACACAACTTCGAGTTAGTAGAATACCTCGTCGTGCAACTTTCAGGGGTACGAGATAGGGACAAGCACGTTGATTTCGTGGTTAGCGAGCACAGTTGTTGTGCACCTGTTCCTGACACCCTGCCACCTTTGCCCTACCGCATACCCTCGACAGTTCCGTGCGTTCAGGCTCTCGTGAGCTGATAAAAGGACAGGAACGAAGGCCAGGCCAAAAGACGGAATGTGCCATTTGTGTGTGGAATTGTGTCACTTCATCCATCACACTCCTGGCCTGCATGCTTTTCTCTGACTCCCACTAAACATCCAGAGTTCTGCTCTTTGTTGAGCGGTATGTCCGTCTAGTTCTTCACTTCCCCCTGGAAAGTATCCGTTAAGTTCATACCTCCTTACTGTCTAGTTTTGGCTTCTCTCAAAAGACGCTGAACATTAAGAGGTGATGAACGAACTGCTGTGTTGAAAGAGCTTTCGCGAAAGGCTTGGATGCTCACGGTTGTTCTCACCGGGAGGTCCCAAAAGTGACAGATTTGCTTTCTTTACGGCCGGAAAGAGTCTTCATTTTCCTAGATTGCAATCCCTTTCAGGTGAAGCGAGGCAGAGTGGGGAACCACGCGGGCGTGTCAATGCGCAGTGTAAAAACACGGTGGGGTCGAATTGGAATAGTCTTCCTGTCAGTGTCAAGGGGGTTATCAAAGTCCTCTCGATGTCAAGACGCAATTCAGATGACTGGGATTACTGTCGGTTTATTATTATGCACACTGGATCTATTATTTAAACTTTAAAACGCACTTTAATCCTTTTAAAGTATTCCTCCTGAGCATCGCACGGTTCACCAAATATGGGGCAGAGCATGTCACATCGAGTTGAAGTTTACTGTAAAAATAAGGGTTAAAAACAAACACCACCAAAATGTTCAATCAAGTCATATTTTGTCAAATCAGAGGCGGCTTCCTTAGTGCTAACATATTATGCTTAACACCATTGGTGGGGAAATGGAAATTAGCAGAAATGTTGCAGTACAAGACTGATTGGAG